AAGGTATACTTTCACCAAGTTTCGTCAAAATTAAATTTTTTTTGCGGAAATGAGAAATAAAAAACGAAAAATCAGAAAAAAACCTGTTTTACGCATTTTTCTCGGAAATTTTGAGGTTATCTTAAAAAGTGACCTCTACAAAAGTTGTAGATTTTTGCATGATCTACAACTTTTGTATTAGATACTTTTTTGTTTGATGTCAACTTTCGCCAGAAATCCCAATGATACAATTTTTCATAACTTTTTAACTCCCCAAATCAACCCTCCGCCGCCCCTGCTCTCGCATTTATTTATTTTTTTTCGTTTATTATAAGCCCCTTTACCATTTCCACTAATGGAAGTCCAGGTACTTAACAATTTTCTTTTTTTTCCCTCTAAATGAGTTATTTTGATCGGTCTATTAAGTGCATATGGCATTTAAATTTACTATATCGTGGATTTTTTTTTGTAAAATTGAAAAAAGTATTTTACTACATTTAATTTAAATTTTTTTTGCATTGTTTTAGGACCCGTCAAATAATTTTGCTATGTGAAATTTTATTTTACTTATACAGGTTAATTTGACTGCAAAACTTCTTGTTTAAAATGAACATAATTTCATGCAAATTAGGGCTTATCCTGATTACTTACGAAGATATAGTAGCTTGAAGCTCGCTGATAATAATTTTTTTAAATATATTTAAGTAAAAGTATCACCACCAAATTTAATATGCGTTTTCGACTACTGATGACTCATATTTATAGTAACAATAATTAAGTGTTTACTTTTTATATGTACCTTGAGAAAGAAATTGTCGAATTTTTTCATGAAAATTTTCAGTAAATGTAAAAATTGTTGTTGACTATTAAAGGTGTTGTACAGTGTTGATTAGTATGTGTTATATATTACAATCAATATTCTGTTCTTTTTACATTTTTTTTTTTATCTTTTTTATCACGTAAGTAATTTCTACTGTTATTTATATTCTTTTAAATTTCTATTTCGCTATTTTTCTAATATTATTCAATATTGCTCTACATTATTTGGCTGTGCAAGATTTGTAATTCTCCACGTAATTTCACTCCACACACTTAGCAGGTGCGAATTAAAAATTCGTTTGTTGTTTACGCATCCAATTGTTCATTAATGGGAAGTTTTGATTCATAATTTTCAGTTAACTTTTAGCAGTTTTTTGTGGAGTGTTTTAGAAAATCAAGGCAAGTTAGAAACAATATCTTCTCATTGTACTAGTTACTCAAGTTTTCTCTAGGGAATAAGACAGTTTACGACTTGACAACTTATTCATAATAAGAAAAAAGAGCATATTTATTGTCTCTTATGTTTATCGTTACTTTTTCTGAATTTTTCACGCCTGTTGAATATATGTATAAAA